AGATGAGACAGATATGTAGATTAGATAGATTCGGATCTTTGTCGCCATATTTATTAATGAATAGATAGATATCCGGCCTTCTTCAGGTGGTTAATGTTAGGACAGATAGATACATGACAGATAGATAAAGGTGTTGATAGATAGATAGATAGATAATGAATATCAACACACTTTAGGACAGATTAACAGAGATAACTGATAACCGATATCCATTAGATAGATAGATAGATAGATGAAATAAATATCAAATTCCAACAAGACTAGGACAAAGATAGGATAGATATTCCTTTGATAGATAGATTTGATATTTTAGATATTTTGTCTTCTAAACACAAGATAGATATCTCTAAGACTATTATGATGAGCGATACCTATATTTTCCAACAAATTATAGTTTCACTAGATAGATAGATATATATATATATATAGATATATATATAGATAGATAGATATATGGATATCAACAGACTAGGACAGATAGATAGATAGAAACTGACTAGGACACCGGCACATGAGATAGATAGATGGAAGGTAGATAGATAGATAGAAAGAATGATACAAAACCTGGGACACTAGGAAACATAGATAGATAGATAGATAGATGCAAAACTACAGTCTAGGATAGATAGATAGATGAATAGATAGATAAGATATTATAGATATTCAACAGACTAGGACAGATAGATAGATAGATAGATGAATGTCAACACACTATATATATATATATATATATAGATAGATAGATATATATATATAGATATATATATATATAAATAAGATAACGAATTTTACGAGTAAATTAGGACAGATAGGGAAAAGAACAAATAGATATGATGAATATTATAGATAGATAGATAGAAATGATAAAGATATCAACACACTAGGACAGATAGATGGATATGATTTGATTGATAGATAGATAGATGTTCGTATATATATATATATATATATAAGTTTTCTAAAGTGGTTATAATTTCAGGCTAAGCAAAAGTATCATTGTTTTCATCTGTTTATTGTTGTAGTTTTTCTCTGTTCAACACAAAAACCCTTTTCACCTCTCAGAATCACATTACATTCAATACGTTTATTGTTCGAAATTAATTCTTGACCTTATTATTTTACAAACAATACTGAACATGCCATGTTCTTTAAAGAATTATGTACTTTTTTAATAAGGCTGGCATTGGTGAAATTAGAGTTATGCCCTACGTTGTTGCGGTGTAATACGAGAGAATTTGAATGTTTATCTAAACGCAAATCTCTTTTGTGTTCCTGTTTGCAGGACTTTTGATCACGTGAAGTCTCGGCAATGTAAATGTTATTGCAATGTAGATATTTTATTTGATAAACTCCAGGATATTAATTGTTATTTATTTTATTTTTCATCCTGATTATATCTCTGATAGTTTTGGAAGTAGTTGTAACAATCCTCGTATTAGGGATGAGTAATTCATTTGAGAGTTTAGTTCAAGTATTGGAGTGTAGGATTATGAATTTTGTATAATTTTTGTTGGAAGTATTTGTTTGTTTGGTTGGTTTTATGAATTTTTTTTTGCTCGTTTTTTTTCTTTTTTTTTTGCATTTTAAGATGAAATGGCATACGTAAATTGGGTAAGAATACTTTAATAATAATCTTAAACTGAAAATGAATTTATTGAAAAAACGTTTGAATAAAGTAACTATAAACAATTTTTTCTATCCTCTACCATCCGCAATGATGGAGAAAGCATTACCTCGCACCATCGCCAGTGAGACACACTGCAAGAGCCACTCTGTTTCTCGAGGATCGTCCCTTAATCGAGACGCAATCGCGCCAATCCTCCGAAGGAACGCCATCGAACGAGGGCCAATAACCCCTGAAGTCTCCGCTGCCACAGGAGTAAAAAAAATTCTATCAGCAAGAGAAGAATATTTAACTATTTTTTTTTATCTCTGTGTCCCGGGCGACGGACCTCGGTTCAAGCGCGAACCTGATCAAATTACCGACCGAAAATGCATCCGCACAGGTCGCATACCAAATCAACGACTTCCCCATTTTAAAAGGAAAAATGGTAATGCCATCCGGTCGCTTTCCATCACCACGGTCGAGGCCTAAGGGTTCGATTTGGGAAGGGAAACCTGCTGCATCCAAACCTCAAATAATCAAAGCCCAGATAATCCCCAGGCCTACGGGTTCGATTTGGGAAGAGAATCAATAAGACCCAAGTATATACGTTTATTGAAATTATAAACATTATTACAACGGGTAATGGTGGACTACGCAACAAAGAAATGCTGAAAACACGTGAATTTGAATAAGCAAGATTCACAAAATGTCGCTGATGAATAACGACGCCATGAGAATATATAACGTAGTTGATTTCAGCAGAAGCAACCCAACCATCTGAAACAACCGGGAGCGCACAATTGCCTCTTTCAGTGTCTCTGCTCGCTGATCCGGCAACTCAACTAAGAGACTGTCAAGAACCCCGCTCAATATCGCCAAATACCCAATGGCCATTTAAAGATATAAAACGACAGATTATTTTACGCCGCTTAAGTGAAGGATTTTTTTATTGGTGTGATAATGTTAACAGCATAAGATATGCAAATGACACTATCTTGATCGTAAACACCGAAAAAAAACTACAAGAACTCCTAAACAATGGATTAAAAGAAAGCAGGAAGAAAGGACCAATCACTAATTGTAAGACGAAAGACTTTATGACCGTTAACAAGTGTGAGAGTCCAAGATGTAAGCTACGGAGAAGAACGATAGAATATTTTTCTATAATAAATTCTTAATAAATATTATTATTGTTATTTTACTTAAGTATAAGATAGTTCTATATTTACAATTCTTACACTTAAATGAGGCAAAATTAAACTGCTGTTATCTGAAAGGCAATAAGAGCCAAGTATATAAGTTTATTACAATTAAACATTATTACAATAGGTAATGGTGGGCTATGCAGTAAAAAAATGATGAAAGGATGCACTGAGAGCATCATGTCAAAGGATACGTCAACAAATTCATCTGATGCTCATCGCTTTAAGAAAAGAGAAGAAACAAAAAGAATAGTAAATATTGCCCAATACAAGGTGAAGGTTATTTATGAGCAACATTCCCTGATCATTCTTGTCCATTAGTGTCATTTTCCCTGGTCATTACATTGTGGACTTGTGTCAGACTCGGATAATGTTAATAAAAATCGATAAAGGACGCTTACTGAAGAACAATGGTTAGATAGATAGATAGATAGATAGATAGATAGATAGATATGAACATATTACGATATATACGATATGAATAGACTGGGATAGATAGATAGATAGATAGATAGATAGATAGATAGATAGATAGATAGATACGATATGAATAGATAGATAGATAGATAGATAGATAGATAGATAGATAGATAGATAGATAGATAGATAATGAACATATTGCGATAGATATGAATAGACTGAGATAGATAGATAGATAGATAGATAGATAGATAGATAGATAGATAGATAGATATGAATAGACTGAGATAGATAGACAGATAATGAACATATTACGATAGATAGATAGATAGATAGATAGATAGATAGATAGATAGATAATGAACATATTGCGATAGATATGAATAGACTGAGATAGATAGATAGATAGATAGATAGATAGATAGATAGATAGATAGATAGATAGATAGATAGATAGATTTGAATAGACTGAGATAGGTAGATAGATAGATAATGAACATATTACGATAGATAGATAGATAGATAATGAATATATTGCGATAGATAGATTTGCGAAGGGAATCAATAAGACCCAAGTATATACTTTTATTACAATTAAACATTATTGCAATGGGTAATGGTGAGCTATGTAGCAAAGGGATGCTGAAAACACGTGACTGTTTTTGAATAAGCAGGATTCACAAAATGTTATTGATGAATAACGACGTCATGAGAATATATAAAGTAATTGATTTCCTTGATTCCAACAGAAGCGGCCTAACCCTTTGAAACAATATGGATCACACAATTTGTCTATCAGTAAAAGAAAAATATTTAACTAATTATTTTTTTTTAATCTCTGCGTCCCGGGCGACGGGCCCCGGCTCAACTGCGGACCTGATCAAATTGCCGTTCGAAAACGTATCCGCACAAGTCGCATCCCAAATCAACGATTTCCCCATTTTAAAAGGGAAAATGGTAATGCCATCCGGCTGCTTTCCATCACCATGGTCGAGGCCTATGGGTTCGATTTGAGAAGGGAACCCAGCTGCATCTAAACGTCTTCTGATGATGTCGTTTATTACTGCATGCCGTGGAAAGCGACCGGCACTACGACGTATGGGAAGTGTATAGTGATTTTCCAAGTGTAACTTAGATGTGTCCGAAAGTATGGGGCACCCAGGGCGGATTGAACTCACTATCAGTCATAATTATTCTAGCCAGACAACCTTGTTAACCTATACACCGCCTTGAGGTGACCTTTTGGAGATTTCGGGTAATTCTGAACTCCGTATGGCAAGTATATAATAAACTATCACAAGAAGAATGTAGTGACGTATGCGCTGACGTCACGTCCAGACATATAGACCTTTTTAGAATTTAAAAGAATGAAAAATAAGAGGTTATTTTAATTAAAAATATGAAATGAAATAAAATAAAAAAAGAAAAATAGACCAGAAATAATTTGATTTCATCTTACAAAAATAAACCTTTTGCAACTACGGTATCATCTAACACAATAAAAAGTGTAGTACTAATTATTTTCGTACGCATTTCCGTCCGACCGTCCATATTGCTGTCTTTGATGGCAACAAAAGAATGTACCCGACTAACACTGACACGAATTTTCATTTACAGTTCCCCGATAAACATTCCATCGAGTCTGTACGTGCATGAATAACTGGGTCCATGGAATTTCAATTATTTGCTGTTCATGGCGTATCAAATGTAAACGAATTGATCAGTTATGAATGTACGTGAGAGATTCATGGAAAATTGAAGTTTATAAGCAGTAAATTCGACCTTGCCAACCGAACGATCATTTGTGACCGCGCGGTAAGGCACGTCAGGCTATATGGCAGTGCCATATAGGATACAGGTTCGAATCCTGTCGAAGGACGAATATTTTCTATGAAAATTTTTCGGACATTCAGGCCGGTAAATGTTATTTAATACTGTTTGTTATAAACAGAGCACTTACTTAAATACTTGTATCTATAAAAAGAATGTTAAACATAAAAAATATCTTTAAATATATATACTTAGTTAAACCGAGAGAGCCAGACAAACCTACCAAGGTTTCACCCAAGTGGATCGTCAGGGATGGCTTCGCTGACGAACCGCTTAGGTGAAACCTTGGTAGGTTTGTCTGTCTCTCTAGGTTTAACTAGGTCTGCTCTACTGATTGTGTTGCGCACTTTATTTAGTTATTTTGCGTACTCGCATCGGGGTTTTTTTCCTTTGGACCTTGGACTTGCATTCTGGACGATTATTTTCGGCTAACGTACTTGGTTTTTTCTTTTTTTTATACCTTTTTTTCCCTTTGGTATTGGTTTGGTTATTCGCAAATCAAGGCACCGAAGGTTTTAAGTCAACATTAGAAGTAATCCAAATCCTAAAAAGTGAAAAACCTGACATGATATCATGGCTTCACTTGATGTTGAAAACTTATTTACCAATGTCCCTGCTAGTGAAACTATTGACATAATTATAAGAAATATATACAGTAACTCATCTTTACCCCCACTTAAAATTAATCCTAATATATTAAGAAAACTATTATTAACTTGTACTACTGAAGTCCCTTTCTTCGATCATAATAACAATATATATATACAACGTGATGGTGTCTCTATGGGTTCAGTACTGGGCCCGACATTTAGCAATTTCTACATGTCGAACCTTGAAAATAAGATATTTACAGATTTTAAAAAACCATCAATCTACCTAAGATACGTTGATGATATTCTTATGTTAGTTAAAAATACAGATGAAATACTTCAACTTCAAAAACGTTTCCAAAATAATTCTGTCCTTAAATTAAACTCAATACTAATAATAAAATCCCCTTTCTTGACATATTGATAAACACAATAACAAATTTACTATTTCGCCATACAAAAACCTACAAGCATAAATTCATGTACCCTTAACTACAAGAGCGAATGCCCATATTACTACAAAATAGCAATTATAAAAGAATCTAATACATCGTGCAGAAACTAATTCATCCACAAAACAGATTTTTTTACAGTGAACTAAAGAATATAAAACAGACACTTATTAATAATAGCTTTCCAAATCATATAGTTGATGAACAAATAAGATGCTTTTTAGAAATCTCAATACTAAGCAAACTGTACATAATACTGATTCTACTGATCTCAAACATATTAATCTCCTATATCGTAATCAAATGCATACTAATTATAAGCAAGCTGAAAATATACTAAAAAATTTAGTAAATACTAATATATCAACAACAGATCCTAGCCAAAAAATTAAATTAATCATATACTACACTAAATCTAGTATATCCAACTTAATACTTCGCAATGATTCTTCTCCTCCAGTTAGCGATTTGCAAAAAACCAACATAGTTTATAAATTCAAGTGACCTTCGGGAGATTGTATCTCCAACGATTTAAATGTTTATGTTGGTCACACCACAAACTCGCTTTCACGACGCTTGACACTACATTGGAATGAAAACTCTAACATTTTTAGGCATTTAAAACAACATGCCTGGCCGCACACACAATTCCGTAAAATACTTGTCCAAAACACAATTATACTTCGACATGAAAACAATAGACAAAAACTAAAAATCCTTGAAGCATTATACATTAAACAGTTGAAACCCAACCTAAACAAAATCAACAATGGATTCTCTACAAATATCCTTAAATGTCTGTAGTTGGTGACGGAGGCCATTGGTTTGTGCCAACGGCTTTCCATACTTCATACTTCTCCAATTCACTCTCGTGTGGGCATGTGTGACGTCATGAGATGCGGTGCGATTTTCGCTTCTAGCGTCTTATATGCACATGTTTATCGTTGCTTAGAGATCGTCTATGTAAACAATGACAGACTATCATCACTGTCTTATCCGTATATTGCTTAATATGTTGTAATTGACATCTTTGATAATGGCTTATGTAAGCCGAAAGCTTAGATTGTATTTGAAAAAATATGGATCAGTATTGTGAATTTCTTTCTTCGTTCAACAAGAATGTTATTAAACTTATTAGACGTTATGAAAAGAGTTTACATAAAATAAATAGACAACACTTGTCTATATTATTTAATGAAACGTGTATGAATGAAAAGATGCTGCCTAAATACACACAATATATATATATATATATATATATATATATATATATATATATATATAATAATATTAGTATAAAAATGGTCACTTAGTTGAATGATGTTACATACGACGACCCAAATGCTGAGATTTGTAGACGAAACTTTTTGTAATCGTTCCGTCTACTCGTCTGGAGTTTT